TGAATTGGTCAAGGAATTGCAAAAGTAGATGTGTAAGTTCACTAACCTGTTATTTTTCACTCAAATTTTTATATATCATAATCGTAGAAATAAGAACAAAATAGATTTACGCTGGTATTATGATATTATAAAGATTGTACTGTACTACTAAAATTCTGTTTGTCTGTCTAGTTTATAACTAATCTGATTGGTTAGTTATGGATATAGACGCTAACTCAAAAGAACCAACCAACCAAAGTATGGACACAAGGACGTGTTATTCAACCAGCATTATCGGGCTATTCACATGAGTAAAAAAATTTGAAAATTTATCTACCCAAAAACCTGGTGCTTGTAGTGGTGATTTTATTGTAGTAAGGCCAGTATTTAATTATTCTTAAAAAAACTTTTTCTTTTAAAAAAAAGATTAACTTTATAAACACGTGAAGAAAAAAAAAAACGGCAGCCTCTATCTTTAATCTGATGACGTTTTATGATTTTCTTACTAGAACTTTATCAACATCCTTATCAAGTTAGTATAAAACTAATAACTGACCAAATCAAAGCTAACTTACTACCACGTGGCTGAGGAACACACAGGTGACGTACGCAGCAACTAAGTGTGTTAACCCGCAGGGACCGAATAACAAAAGGGCCTACAGCCATCCATCGATCTCTACAGAATGATAACTCTGGCCTTAATTATGTGAGAGATCCTAAGATGTCAAAGAACCTTCAGGATGCGGAGGGAGGTAAAAAAAAAAAAAAAAAAAAAAAAAAGCTATTAACCAATAGACCTTAAATAACATCTTGGACGAGCAAGATAGTCGTTCTGAATATCGGTTTAAACTTTCTTTTGTTAGACGTTTAATTATCAAAAGTTTAATGTTTATCTTGAAAGCGTTTCTTAAGTAAAAGTTTTTAAATAAAAAGATCAATAAAATTAGCGGTTTTTAACGAAAATTTATCAGTCCGAAGAAAACAAAAAAATTTAAACCTAAGTTATCCTTAAAAAAAAAAAAAAAAACTCAAAAGGAAATTTATTTGTACAGACTAGCTGCTTCGATTCTGATTTTAAGCAAGTAAATAAAAATGTATTTAGGTAAGTAGGCAAAACAGTACTTAATCCAATTTACACTTATCTGCTTATTATCCGCTCCCTCATTTATCTTGTATTTATTTGTACACCCATTCAATCCTTAAATTTGCCTAACCACACTTTACCTACTCGCTAAATACTATCCGTGCTCACCAGTGAAGGAAATCTGAATTTTTTTTTTTAGTTTTTTGAGAACAAAAAATTTTAAATTTATGTTCTTATTAATAAAATTTTACTATATTCAAAAAATTTTTGTGTTCTCGAAATACTATATTAAAAAGTAAAAATTTTTATGTTCTCATTCTGAGAACATAATTCTTAAATATTATGTTCTCAAAAGATATTTTAATGTTCTCAGAACTCTAAGAACATTAGATTTCTAACACTGGTGCTCCTTCACCTATTCTTTGGAATTAGTAAAATTTTACCTTCCAATTCAATTTATTAACACTGTAATTAAATGGATCTTATTTCGTTAAAAGACAAAATAATGAGCAAATAATTGTACATTTAAAAAAAAAAATTAGATATGTAGCATTAATTTACTTAGTAAACTCGTGTCAGCATATTTTAATTAAGTGATAATAAAGTTGGTGGAATCCACTACAAAACCCAATCTATTTATTATATCATTGTTTTCAATTTCAAAATAATAAAAAATTATAATGTTTTATTGAAACTTACTTTTATCAACACATTGTAAAATTTTACGTGATTCCAAGAATTCAAATTTTGCGAGTGAACATATTCTTTACATATCTTCATTTTATATGTACCATCTGATTCTCTAATGTAACTTTTCATATAATTTTTGTATTCTTAATAAACTAAAGGTTTTTGTTTGGAAACGTATATCTAACGAATTGATAGCAATTAATAACCATAATTGATTTTGTGTAAGCCCTATTATTAATCGTTAAAAAATGAGAAATTTTTATCTTCAAAATTAAAAGTCAAATTAATAATAAAAAACATTGAGATTATTTCATATAATACTTACCTTTTAAAAATTTTAAAACTGAGAAATTTTTCGGTAAAAAGAATGGTGAATCAATGGGTAATTTACGGACTGTATCAAACTTAGTAAAAGTGAAAGAAACATTCAAAACATTATTTCGGATTTAAACAATCAAATGTCACTGATTAAAAAAAAAAAAACTTATCGCATATTTTTAAAAAAAAACTTCTAATAAAGTCTGTTAAAGAATTAAATGTTTGATTTATGATATTATAGAAAGACTCATCATCAAATAACACTTAAAAGATATCAAAGCGCCATGTGTGAATAAGTGAGCTATTAACAAAAAATATATAAATATACTATTGAACTACTTTGACTTTTTTCATGACAATATTCCGTGTCATTAACTATGATCTCTGTAAAACTTTCAATATTGCAAGGTCGATATGATAAAAGTTTTGAGCAAGTTTGTTAAACACATTCTATAAAAAAAAAAAAAAAAAAGAAAAGATATCCTATGAGAATATGAAAAATAATAAATTTTATTAATTTTGACGAGTACATACCGCCTTTTGAGTAATTCCAATTACTGAAAATCGGACAATTTTTGCTTGTAGTAATAATAAATATAAATAATTGACTACAATTTTTCGCGAATGCATCAAAATCATAGATTATTATAAATATAGGGTTTGTTACTACTGGACCAGATTTAAACGATTCAGGTCTTTGCGAAAAAAAAAATTAATTAAAGAAACAAGCAAAACCTTGATGAAAACAAAATTTACATACAAATCCTTTAATTTGTTGCCCGAGTTGTAAGCCAATTTGGCATAAGTTGAATTATGTAGTAATCTGTTTATATTTACGCAATAAATATCATAATTGTATGTAGAGCTTATCGAAAACAGAAATGATTTCGAAAATTAACGCGTAATTTATGGTAATAATAACGGATAACCCAGTAAATAATTACCGCAGTTTTTTCACAGTCAGATGATCAAATAATTATACAATATTCTTTCATCCAAAGACGCCGTTCGGTTCTTATAATTTAGAAATTCTCTAATTTTTTTATTTTATCGATGATTTATTCAAAATTTTGTATTTAAGCTCTGTTTAGAAATCAACTTACGAATATTGCTTACAAATACGTACGTACAGTATGTCGGGTACAGAACGATCTGTTAATCTTTCCTTAAGTGTATTGATATGTTATGCTATTATTATTTTGACTATCTTTAATTTTTTTTTCGATATTTTACAGAATGAGTTTATGCTCATAAATCCAATAAAACCAAATGCTCGTTATAAAAAAAGTAATTCGATCAACTAGAATGCAAAGTCAGTATAACATAAAATCGCGACTTTTTAGAATTTTACTCTTGACTGTTGACCTTTTATATGAATTATTCGTTTTTTTTTGCATCCTTGGGAATTTAAGGTTAAATCATTGATAATTAGTTATTTAAGATATTTTAAGTGTTCTGAGTCATTTCTTAATCTATATCAATTATTAATTAACTTAATTCTCAAACGTAGATAGCATAAAATTATATGGTATTAAAAAGAAATTATGATATGTTTAATAATTATTGTTTATTGATTTCTTTTTAAATATTTCAAATCGAGGTTTACTAGTTCATTTGCTTTATTAAAATAAAAATTTTAAAATCAAGATTTTATTAAATAAATAAATTAAAAGATTAAATTTCTTTATTAACACCAGATTAATGACGAAAATATTTTTTCTAAAAAAAAAAAAAAAAAGATGAGTAACTGATATGACCTTAGTACCCCAGAAAGTCGCATGTCAACACGTAGCAGTAGTTAAGTGATCACGTGTATTCACCTACTTTCTGCTATTAAAAGTGTAACCTAGAAGCCTAGGAGCGGTTATCCAAGGATTTCGAGTTAATATATTAACGTGAGCAAATCGTTACTCACCTTTTAAATTAAAGCGTACCATCATAATAAAAAAATTATTTTTAAAAAAGGTTATATTAAATAAAAATAGAATAGTACAGTATTATGTAATAGATATAAAAAAAAGAAAGTTTTTGAAAAATAACAAGAGAAAAATTGATTATTATATATCTTTTTGTTTAATAATACGTATCATTATTTGGTTGTTTTGAAATTTACAAATATGCACTTTTTGTAAATAACGCGATATTAAATTAAAAAAAAACGTGAAATTAAATTAGGAAATTTACGTAATAGTGCATATCATCTAAATTCCTAATTTATTATCGCGTTCATACAAAAAGCGCGCATTTTAATAAATCTCAAAACAACCAAATAATGATATGTGTTATTAAAAAAAAGATATATATAATGATCAATTTTTCTTTTGTCATTTTTCAAAAACTTTTTTTTTTTTATATGTACTATTCTATTTTTATTTAATATAACCTTTTTTTAAAATAATTTTTTATTACAATAGTACACTTTAATTTAAAAGGTGAGTAACGATTTGCTCACGTTAATATATAACTCGAAATCCTTGGGTAATCGCTCCTAAGTTACTCTTTTTTTTTTTTGATAGAAAATATGTCTTTGTCGTTAATCTGGTGTTGACAAAGAAATTTAATTTCTTATAGATTTTATAAATTGATTTTAAAATTTATCTATTTTATAATGTATTGTAATGGAAATAAAACTTGTAACTTTCGATCTGAAATTACAGAATTATCGTTATTCAAAAAACTCGACCCCTAAAAAGGGGGGTCCTTAAAGCCGGGTTGAAAAAAGTTACGTTTTTGATGTATTTAGAGTTACCTTTTTGATACAATTAGGGTTAGTTGGTTATTTAGATATCAAGAATACAATTTATGCAGTATGTAGATCAATATATGAAATCTGCTTCGCTACATCTACAATTTTTTTCTTGTGTAACAGTTTTTTACCAATAGAAATAACCATAAAACGAATTTTTTTTATCACGATAATTTGTTAAAAATGCTTGATTCAAATAATCTATCAACGGGCGATATTAGTAGACAGCAAAAATATAAATTTTTAGTTGTTGATTCAGGACCTTTAATTAAAGGTGTTAACGTTCGTCATTTAGCCGAAAAAATTTATACTATACCGGAAGTAATTGCGGAAATTCGTGACAAACATTCCCGCGATTTTTTAACCCAAATTTCTTTTGATATTGAAACAATACTTCCTAATGAAGAGGCCTTAAAAGAAGGTTATATTTCAAT